ATTTGGGTCCTGAAATTATTGAATGAACAGTTGAGGTGGTTGATAAAATTAGAGTAAGAATAAAGACAACACAAGACCTACAGAAAAGTTATGCTAATGGTAGAAGAAAAGATTTGGAGTTTCAAGTGGGTGATAAAGTTTTTCTGAAAGTAGCACCAATGAAGGGTGTATTGAGATTTGGTAAGAATGGAAAGTTGAGACCACGATATATTGGACCTTTCAAAATTCTTGAAAGAAATGGCGTTGTGGCCTATCAACTTGATTTACCACCTGAACTCGCAGTAGTGCATATCGTGTTCCATGTTTCGATGTTTAGAAAATATGTTCATGATTCTAATCATGTGGTGGGTTATCAGACATTGGAGGTACGAAGAGACTTATCATATGAAGAAATCCCAACGATGATCTTGGATAGACAAGTGCATCGACTCAGAAAAATGAAGTTTTCCTGGTCAAGGTCCAATGGCAAAATCATGGACTTAACGAGTCAACTTGGGAGAAGGAGTAGGAGCTTAAAACCAAGTATCCAAAACTCTTCGATTAGTCAAGGTAATTTTCGAGGGCGAAGATATTTAAGGAGGTGAAATTGTGAAGTCTCGAAAATTTTCATAGAATAGAATTAATTGTTCTATATGCTTTTTAACATCTTGGAAAAGTTAGGGACTTAAATTTATTTTTATATGGGTCAAATATTTAGATATTGATGGAGCAATGATAAGTATATGAATATTGGGCTCGTTGGCTATATCGTAATTAATCATGTAAATTAGGCGTGAGAAAAAAATTATTCAAATAAACGAGGCCCAAGTTATCAAAGTCAAAAGTTATTGTCTTAAATTATTAATTAATTAAGTTGAGTGACACGTGTAGCAAGTTTGAAGGTAAGTTGTTAACTAATTTTTTATTAGATAAGGATTTTGTATAATAATAATAATAATAATAATAATAATAAGACAACACGTGTGCCAAGATGTTGAAAAATATGTCAATTGCTTTTATTTTAATTTGCCTTGAATTTGGGAAATTGTAAGGACCCCCGCCACGTGATTGTTGAATAGAAAAAGAAGAAATTTTGAGGCTTTGACTTTGGGAATTGGTAGGATAGCTTGCCATGTGTCTGTTGGATATGAAATGTAATAATTTTGATTGTATGAATTTCGGGGATTGGGATTTATTTTTTTTGGAGCCTATCAAATTTAATTTCCCCTTTTCAATTTTAAATACCATACAAAAATATAATTATTATCTACCCGAGAAGAAAGAAAAAAAAAAAGAAAGAAAAAGTACAAATACGTATTATTGTGGTAGCAAGTAGAAATTAAATATTTGGGAACGTGAATTTTTTTTTTTTTTTATCTTCCAACAATTCTTTTATCAATCAAGGTAGGATATCGAGGTGCAGTTATTTTATCTCGTTTAAATTATTTTCTTTCATGTTGATGGATTATTATACTCATGAAAGTTAAAGATATGTTATGATATGTATGATATGACAATCTGGTACCAAAGATATGATATGTATTGAGCTCTTATCGGTTTTATAAGGATATGATGACGGTATGATTTTTCTTGACACATGAATTTAATATTTTTATTCGGGAGTGCACAATTATTTTAGTATCCTACTAAGTATTCTCATATATTCACCATTTTCCATACCTCTCACAGATTAGAATGGATCGTTAGTTGGTGGACGATGAGGTGCGTCGTGGTACCAGGATTCATTTGACTCAATAAAGTAAATTCGAAATAACGTGGCTGAAATTCTATTCCTAGTAGAAATCGTAATTTCATAAGTATATGAATCTATTCATTTGTTTAGAATTTTGGAACCTATGTTTTTGGTTATGTTTTTTTTTTTTTTCGTTCATGACTTAACAATGATTGACATGTTTTAAAATTTGAGCTATTTAGTAACGATTTAAATTTATTATAATATTTGGGTCGTTACATGAGGCAAGGGTAATTGCGCTAACAACAATCACCAATCGAATGCTAATGAAAACCAAGTGAAAGATCAAACTAAAATATATGTGAGGAGCAAAACTAGAGGACATGTATAGAATTTTGCAAGATTATTTATTATCGAGGGTTTAAGAATTTAAAATCTCAGAATCCAACCATTTTTCAATTATAAAGAGGTTCTATTATAGTGCTTTGGCCGACATGGTGTCCGTTGGATCAAAACCATGTGACATCACCTCCTTGACTGAGACTTCAAATCACTGTGTATCATACAACAAATACATTGATAATGGGTCAGCCGCCCTATACAGTAACTGACATACCGGGCACTCTTAATTACAAATGTTGTTACTGTAAGTGTTATGCCCTAGGTCCAATCAACTTTGGACATAAACACTTTGAATATATATAATCAATGCATATATATGGCAATATCTATTATTTAATTGAATTAATATTCTAATAAATTAAATAATAGAATCCGTAGATTCAAGTCTTGGTGATTTGTTAATCACAAGGAGTTGTGATTGTGAGATACAAATTACATATGACTGAATCTTAAATCGTCC